TAAACATGTTTATACAAACGTGCTTTAGGATCAAATGCCATTGAACAATAGCATGTGATTATCATTCATAAAGCATTTTTTATCTTTGGAGTGCTTTGCAAACATTAACTAATTAAATTGTACAGGTCCCCTGTGTGTTCAGATATTATAATTATCCACAGGTTAGTGACTTGCTCAAGGCCATGCAGCAAAGGAGAGAATGAGTTGGAATCAGGTACATCTGCCTCTTACTCCCATGCTTAATCCACTAAAATGTGTTGCTCCAGAGTGAAGCTCGAGTTATTAGTTGTTGGATATGTGAAATGCATTTTATGGATAGTGAGGCAGGCATTCTGTAATTGCTTGAAGAGCATGACACTGAAGAATGAATTATAAATAACATTATGAATTACTACTACCCAGTTAGCAGTTTGTACACCTGTTTGGCATCTCTTTCCCCCAGTGATTCGTTATTCAGCTTTTTATGTTTTGTCTTTCTAAATCAGCACGGAAAGCAGGGGCAGAACTGTGTGCCTGAAGAAATTTAGAGCTATAACAAATACTCATAGGTGTGGATTGGATAGCAGAACAGTGCCAGGAAAAGCCACAATAAAACTTCTCAGTGAACTGCTACTTTGACTTACTGATAAGAAAAAGAAAGAGCATTGTCCTCTGCTGTCACTTGAGCCAAAATTACTTCTTGTTTCATTATCTAGATTAGATAAGTTTTTATCTTTCCTTTTCCATAAGGCAGTTCCTGTGATTTTGACAGACATACATGCAACACAATTAAATCTTAATAGCAGTGCTTACACTGATTTATGGAAATATTGTCCTGAGTGTTTAGGTCAATGCATGCAAAGCCACTAAAGTTGTGTAGGTCACGGGTATGTAAACTGCATGTAAAGGAGGGAACTATTATGGGGGGAACACTGTTTGGCAAGGCATAATTGAATGAGCATGTAAGTACAGGAATTAAAAAAAATGAACCTGCTTTTTTTTTCTTGCCATTTTCCTTTCTCCTGCATAACGGGACTAGATTGTGGTAGGTTTCCCCATCTGTTAGTTAAATCGTCTTTGACTAGTAGTGATTTCACCACAACCTCATTTCTCATAGAAAGAGGAGGGAACAGAAGCTCTTGGATGATGGATATGAAGACAGATTGTTTGGGGGTTTTTGTGTTGAGCTTGTGTGCCAAGGAGGTGCCACTGTCCATGTGATTGTAACTTTGAACATGAGCATTACTATTCTGAATACATCGCAGAAAGGATACTTGAACCTCACAGCCACCACACATACAAAATTACTCTAGTCACAATAAAGGAATTGAAAGCACAAACAAGGAGTAAAGCAGCACGATGGCTGATATTATAGCATCTAATCCTGGAGTAATGACAGTCACAGGTTTCAGAGTCAAACTCTGCACCTCCGTCATTAGAGCAGTGACAAAAGATGTGTCAAGCGTGAGGTTCTGGGTCATATTTTTCTTTATTTATCCTTGTGAGATATACTCAGTTGCCAGAGGGTAAAGCAAGGAAATATGAAAGCTGAGGCAGGCAGAAAATGATGAAGAGACCAGGGTGGATCAGAGGAGGCAGCAACTGCCAGAGCCCTCTTGTCTAGCCTGTGTTGCTAGCTCAGGGGGGCATGGAGCAGGCTGGCAGGCACTGGGGCCAGAGGCTGCCCTAGAAAGTGCTCACCTTAAGGCCTGCATACAGGATCTGCTGCTGGCTGAAAAGCCCAGCATTGCAAACAGCCTGAAAAATAAATTAACCCGGAAATCACCAGAAGCTGACATCAGGCAGTAAAAGAAATACTTGGTTTATGTACTCATTAAAAGTCAGCAGTCCCAGTCTTGTCAAAATATGTCCCTCAATTATTTGCATGAAAAGTACAATATTTATCATAGTGCTGGGATAATGCATGATAAATCAGGGACACACAGTGCTGACAGACAGACATGTAAGTCACCATGGTATTTCTCTTAAGAACTGATGAGCACTGCTGTTTCTGTAATCAGTTGCTTGTCAGTGCCAAAGAGTCAAACCATTGATAAATAAGTTCACAGGAGGAAGTATAATAATGACCAAAATGTCAGTCATAAAAGTTTCAAAAGCACAATAACAGAGTGATGTTGTATAATAAATTATTTGCTGAAAATTATTTACCAAGCTGAACAGGTTGATTCCTTTTGCACTCAATTTTTCCACTTCAGAACTGCTTGGGTGCCTGTATCAACACATGATTTCTGAGATATTTTGCCATTCCTATAGTCAAGTACATTCAATTCTGTAACAGGTACATCCTTGTCAGTATATTACACAGCACAGAGGTTCCACTATCCCCAAATGCTTGCAACACACATGAAGTACTGCAGGTACCCAGGACCAAGATGAGCCACAACAGCACAGGCGCTTGAGACAAGATGCAGATTTTCTGCTTTGGGGGAGTGCTGATGGAGGTGTTGTGAAGTTCTGAAATAGGTGATTGGGTCCAGCACTGTGGCAGAGCACCTGCACAAGGCATTAACACTCCCACAGTACAGTCAACAAAGAGTTAAAGGCTTTGAAGTTCAAAGGGCAGAGCAGTCAGCTTCCTAGAGATGTCTCCACTTACATCTTGGGTGGGTACGTGGCTGTGAGTTTTCTCTGCTCTCTTTGGAGCTTGGTCTTCTGAACTGTAGTAGTTCATTAAAGTAGTTTGGAAAAAACAAGAGCAGCTCATGTTCCTGACTTTCCATTGTGGAAATGAAGAGATCCAGTTCTGAGCTTACCTATTTCTGCCTGTTGCAACCATCCAGAGTGTGCTGTGCTTCTCCCATCGGCCATCTCTCATCTCTCTGTGTGAAAATGTGACAGCCGGCAGTGGTGCAGTCACCCACCTATGGCATAAAAGCCTGGTGTTAGAGCACTAACTCAGGAAGCCAGATATCTATGTTTGTGTGCAAAAGATACCCAGAAGTGGTCCTTTTCCTCTTTTTTATTTTACACTTGCATTTTGGATTGGGAAGAGACTGTTACAGATCCTTTTTATGCTGATTACATGGTCTGAGATGTGTTTTAGCCATTTTCATAGCACAGAAAAGCTTCAAGTTCCAGAGGCAAGGATTAGGTATTTCACTCCACGGTTTCTGGTTTGGAGAAGAGGTTAGGTGGGAGGCCACAACCCTTTGGCTTTCACACCAAACAGAAAGGAGCATAGTAACTTTAAGGTGTCAGTGAAGTTGGTTGAATGATGCTTGAGTGCCTTTTGCTTCAGTGCCTGGATACTGTAGGTTCTAAACAGAGTTTTAGTTGTCTGCTAAATTTCCCACTGTCAGAAATTCAGCATGCAAATACTTAACCCCAACAACTGTATTTTGGTCTGCCCTGTTGCTTAGTGGTTAAAAAAGGAACTTTTTGAAATGGAGTGTCCAAAATTTACAGTTACAACTTCCAGGTAATGTATGGATGTTTATATCACCTGTGCAAATAAATGATTTTCCAGTGAGACACAGAGATGATTGCAAATTAATTGACATGGAAGAGAACCATTTGTGTTAATGGTTTCCAGTAACCATTTTTCCAGTGCATATTGTTTTCAGTTGAGGACTGATGGGGCAGGGGAGATTTTGTCACAGTGCTCTTTGATTAGGTACTGACACAGTTGTAAAATTAAATCTGTACTTATTTGGTACTGTGGGACAAGTACCTGATATGTATTTCTGAGGAGAAAAAGACTCTACATGGACAGTGGGAAAAGAGTGTGGAAAAAAACAAAAACAGTGTTAGGCAGTGATAGAGCTAATAACTTATACTTAAGAAATTCTGTACATAATTTTGTCATCTGCATACCATATTTCTGTCATTATCAGAAATCTAGCATCTAAAAAATGGGAAAAACAGTAAAGAAAGCCAATATTTGCTATACACTTGAAGCAGGGAAATGTGACAGGTTCAAAGCATTCAGTACAAAATTTTTTGAGGAAATAGATGGTTTGTAGGTTTCCAAGGGCCAGTGGAAAATGCAATTATATAAATGAAACAAAGTTGTTCTGAAAATTTCCTTTTCACTTTCAACAGTTCCTGTGCCAACGTGGATATTTTAATTGAGCATTATAAAAGATCCAAAACATTTTCAGTGCAAATGCATTCAACTGCTAGTGTGCTAGAGCTTTTTTATTATTCATATTGTTATTCTAATATTTTTGCTAGTTTCTTAGGTATTGGCCTCAGACTACTTTCACAGTACATTTAAGATGTGAACCACAAAGAGAAGGACTAAAGGGGCTTATTCATGTTCTTGGCTTTCTGCAGGTTTTTCTTCTTTTTTCCCCTAAACTGGTGGAACTTTTTCCAAAAACCATCTGTATGAAGCTTCTTCTTTGAGCACATGCAGTAGATCAGAATTTGTCAGTGAAAAGGAACGTTTCACATAGTCCAAATCTCAACCAGCATAGGAGTTTGTACAGCTATCCCACTGTATATTGGTGTTGTTCATTATTCCAAATGGTATTTTACAAGATTGTATATTTCTCCTGGAATACTGGAGTCCCAGTTCTAAGTAAAAATGTTAAAGCCTAAGTTTTTTGGTTTCGTGTGGGAATAATATTACTGATGCAGCAGAATTCTGGGAGCAGACATTCACTGCAGCCCCTGTTTCCTCTTCATGCAATGTCTGTCTGCTATAGGTTCTTGTTAAAGTTTACCTCTTTGTTGCTGATTATTTTTTTAATAAGAAAATATGATCTATCATGATCCAGAGTTACCACTGAGTGACATGTGGACCCTTAAGCTTTGACTTTGCTGCTATTAAATTAATCACAGAGCTCCTAATGACCTACTTATCATTAGATGGGGCATCTACAGAGCAAATTCAGTTTGAGGAGAGTTTTGAGTGAATGAGAAAATCCTAAAGTGCCTTCCACACTGAGGCTATATGCCTTACTTACTTTGCAGTAAGTGTTCCTCAAGCTTGTCTAAATCCCCTTCGATTATTTGGGGTAACTTAAAATTCCTAATTGTCTGTGTTCAATTTCCAGAGAGAGCATGTGGGGCTGTGCCAGGTCAGCTGTTAACCCTTTTCGTTTTTTCAACTCCAGGTATGAAGCATTTTATTGTGTATTATATAATATTCTGTTTTATTGATAAAGTCTAGTAGCAGTGCTTTTCAGGTTTCTTTCCCTCTTTGTGTCATGACTGGGGGGTATGTGGGGCTAGGCAAGATCTGAAGTTGAGTTTTGCAATTGCTTTTTTTATCTTGGGGCTTAGAGGGTGCTGGGAAAGCTGCAATTTTAAATTTTTTTTTTAATATAAATCACAGTGTTTAAAATATTAGACTAGAAAATACTTTTTCTGATGTTTAATAATATAGTTTAAAGTGTTCAAAGTAGTCTACTGAAATTGAGTAAAGAAATTAATGTGCATCAATGTAGCTCATGTTATAATGAGTCATTGCCAATTACCGTGAAACAAAGCTGCAAAATGTAGGAAGAGCTCTTTGCAAACATCTCCTTGCTTTTGTTTCAAGGAGGGCACAATTTTAAAACCTTCATGTGTAACGTGCCTAGTAGATGGCACAGGGTTTACATGCCAGTCCAGTGGCAGGGGGTGACTGGAAGGCTTCAGCAAGTCTTGTGATACCATAAGGGCCCTCGGGCTCACCCCACTTGCCCAGGTAGAAATGGTGTCAGATGACAGAAGGATGTGTCAAAGCTGGTAGGGTTCCTGTTTTTGTGGGATTCATGGCTGTTGCTTTAGTGGGTTTTAAAATAGTATGCAGTGAAATGTCCACTCTCAGTGTGCTTGCTTGCTTGCCTGTCCTCCTCCCTTCTTTTGTTTGTTTTGTGCGCCCATCAGAAGGTTCCTTTGGAGTCATGTTTATTATGAGACAAGTGTAAACCCATCAGCTCACTCCTTTATCTGCTCTTAGTGACCTGTGTGCCCTCTGTCTGTGGAGTACAGAAGAAAAAACAACTTCACACATTGAATTTAAGCAAGTATGTTCCAGGATAAATCACATTCTTCACATTTATAAGTACAGCTAAGCTTCGTAATAAAATTAGGAAGAAGGCATGTTTAAGAGCAATTACACTTTCAAATTGCTAATGAGTAGTCAAATACAGAAGTCATTCCTCAAGACTGCTCCTATCTCCAATTTGCAGTTAATTACACTACAACTGTATATTTATATTAAAAATTTGCAGGATCTTATTACTCAAACATTTTCAAAGTAGCAGCAGGAGCAATTTCTCTGTTACAGCTAATACAAATCTTGTAAGGTTTCCTTAACTATGAAATTGAAACAATACATTTATTTTTTTAAGTCCTTATAATTGTCTTTGATCTGATTGTATTTAATCAGTGCAATGTCAGAAATTATTCTGATGAGCCTACTAGTCTCTCAAAATGTTGTGTTTCTAAAACATATGCATATTCCAAATACAATTTTTAAAGCAGGCTTCTTTAGCTGGCATTAAATTAACTATATAATCTTTTGGGTATTTGCTTCTATTCTGCAGGAAGCATTTTCAAGAAGGACACTTACATTGTTACTTTTTTGCTCGTTGTTGACGATGTCAGTATTTTGCTTTAAAAATCCCTCATGAATTTATGTGGTATTTACATACCATAGTGATGAATATGAGGTCCTACTAATGTGGCCCCCTGAAAAACATGCATGGTTATATGTCAGTGAAGATGGCTAGGTCATCTCATGCAGCAGTTCTAAACTGCTGAAAGTTAGTGTACTCTGACTGGAGCGAGATGAGACTGAAAGGTAACATTTGGCAAGACAAATAGGTTGTAATAAAATCAGAAATTTGGAAAAGAGCTGTAGGGTTTTTTTTTTTTTTTAATGTGGTTTTAAAATAAAGAACCAAATTGATCAAGAAAACGCATCTGTCAAACCTCATTTGGGCCATGTGGGCCTGCCTGTAGATTGAAAGGTGGAAGTAAGATCAATTAGATTAACATTAAAGTCAGTGCATTATTTGAATATGTGAATTCTTATGATGCACTTAAAACTGCTGACAGTGCCAGGAGTCTTCCCCACAGCTGGTCCCTCTTCTTGGGGTATGACACTGCTGGAGTTTGGGAGCAGTAAATGCTTGTCAGAAGTGAATTCTGCTGCAGTTAAATGCAGCTGTATGAGTGGATATATTTCATTTGAATTAAATTTTATGCCTACCCAAGTCTGAGTATTTTTCAACTTGGTATTACTAAACTTATCTTTTTCCACTAAATTACAAGAAAGTTATCTTTCCATAAAATTACACTGAGAAGTATTGTATTCCAGTTAGGAAAAGTACAGAAATATTCTTTGGTACTTCAGTTTCTTTGTGATGATGGAGGAACAGAGTGGATCAGAAAGTCTTGAAGAAACATTTTTTGTAGTTTTTTATTTTTTTTTCCTATTTTTTCTCTTTGGGTTCATCAGCTGTACTAAAAGTTGTAAGTTTTACTCCAAACCAATTCCACACAAATCTGCATGTGCTGACCTCTGTGGATGGCTGGAGGCTGGGACGGTTGCCTCAGTTCATGCACCTCTAACTGTTCATTTCCTCTGAAATGTGGAGCATTTTGTCCAGACAGCCTCCTCTGATCCACTGGGAACAAAGTGATAATGTGTGTGAGTTTCACATGTTGAGGGCACAATGTGCCTCTTCATCTTTGCTGTCTTGCAAAGGGTACTGCTTTTGCTCTTGTATAATCTTCCCTGATCTTCTTTTTAACACCTTATCCACAGGCTCAGCCAGATGGGAGATGTTTGGCAGCTGGAGGACCCAGATGCCAAATTCTGGAATACAGCTTTCCTGCATTGGCACGTGGGCTCATGGCTGGCTTCTTGGCTTGCACCTCTGCTAACTTCTTGGCTACTGTCTAGCTGGCAGCTGTGGCACTGCCTCTGGGGCTGTGTTCAGGTCAAGCTGCTTTGGAGTTGGATGGCTTTCCTGATCTGAATTGCTCTGCTGGACACCATTTTCACCTTAGTCCACTTTGACTCTCCACTGTTCAAAGAGGAACATTTGCAGGGTTCTGTTGTATTGCTGACATTTGTAAGACTAATTCGAAGCAGTCCTTCTCATTTGGCATGAGTTCAAAGAGAAAGTAAGCATTGGAGTGCAGAGTACACTGCTTTACTTGTTAGCGTTCCCATTAGTTAGTAAGAATGTTTAGGCCCAAGTCTCTACTTGCAATTCATCTCCAGGACCAAATTGTTAACTGAGGAGCACAGGCTTTAAAGGATATATTTCTTCTGTCTAAACTTTGATTGCTTTCAGCCAAAAGTTAATCTAGCATCTGTCAAACAGAAAAAACCCGAGACTTTTGCAGAGGTAATCTGGATCATTTTTAAAGAACAGGATAAAGAATAGTGATGATGATGATAATAAATAGGAAGTAATAATTAAGAGCACTGCCAGCAGAAAATGCTTGATCTTCTCTTTGCCACATTTGGAATGTCCTCATTTCACATTTTAGTTCTACTTCAGGTTTTTTATTGGGCTTTTTTTGTTAGTTTGCTGTTGGGTTTGGTTTTGGTTTTTTTTCCATAAATGAGGTAATGAAAAATTAATGCATCTAGGATAGGCAAAGCATTTGAAGCAATTCCCTAATCTACATATTTTCCTTCATGCCGCTCAGTGCATAAACATTACTTGCAATAGGAAAAACTGCAAAATCAGGAGGTCACTTGCACTCTGTATACTTACAATAAAGTTCAGATTAGTCATAACTACTATGAAATTCTCATTCCCTCTCTCAGCTAGAGTGGGACTATGTTGTGCTACACTAGAGGCACTGATACCTCTGTTACACTCTCAGAAAACTTTTTTAATGCTTGAGTGAGTAGCACTTGTGCTTCACTGTGAAATGAAACTTCTATCTGTATATTAAGGTTGAGCTTTGGAGGTTGAGCTGACCTCTGAGGAAAAGCATTTGAATTCCTCATTATAGTCACTGGAGGGAATTGCATGTCCCAGGAACAACCAAAAAGGAGTCCTTACCCATCTAGTTTAGGTGTATACTTTGGTGGCCTAGGGAATGTAAGTGCTTCTCTGGAAATACAGGCCAGTTACATCAGATCAGTCATTATGGACTGTATAGAGAACCAGTAGGAAATAAAAGCATTGTTTTCCCTCAGAGGTAGTCTCTGTAGCCCTTTCTGGATTATAATGGAGCAGGGATGAGTCTTTTGTCAAACAAGCTGGCAGCAGCAACAGCAATTTTGCCACTTTTGCAGATGAGCTTCACTAACTAGCCCGTCAGCAGGCTGGGAGACCTGAGGTGTAGGTTCTGAGCACAAGCTGATCTCATGGGGATCCTTGGTGCAGGCCTAACCAGATGAGATACGAGGGGAGCAATGGAGTGTTATCTGCCTTCTTGCTGAAGGCAGATGGAACACAGAAGTTACGGGATGGGGAAGGAGAGTGGGTAAGAAGAACATGTATCCTTGCCTGAGCATGGACAGGACTGGGATTATAGACTCCATTCCTTGAAGCAACATCAGGCCAGAAAAAGCAGTGGATACTGAAACAGACCTTTCACTGTTCCTGTCTGGATGCTTAGTGTCCCAATCTCCAGATGGAGCCAGGATCCCCCTTTTCTGTCCAGCCTTTTTGCCATGTGGGTCTTGCATTCCTGATTACAGAGTAGCCTCACTTCCATGGGCACTTAGGCAGGAGGTCCTGCATCTGTATAGCCAGATTATTCCTGACATGATGCTCCTTCTCTGGGTGAATTGGGCTACAGTGCAGCACCTTGCCAGTGCCACCACCATCAGCACTCTGCCTGCCTTTTGGAGCTTCTTCACATGACACAGGCAAAGTTCAGGACAGGGCTCTGCCTGTAGGTGGAAAATGGGCAGCTGCCAGCATGAGTATGTGTGGACAAGTGCCTAGTGATAGATACCCAGAGGAGCTCCATCTTAATAATGACAGACCTCATGGGTTTGGGGGAGGCTGTGTAGGACTCTTCATGGGACAGTGGGTGGGGATGGAGTCATGGACCTAGGCAGGCTTTTGGGTTTCTGCCTCCCAAATCAGGGTTTCAGCATGCCCATTCTCATACTTCACCACTTTCCAAACTGTATTTTCTTCTTTCA